CATGACCAAATATATTTCCCTTAGGAACCCTTTGTCATGAAATCTTAACGCAACGTTGAAGCATACCTTATCATATCAACATCACTCATAATTGTCATTGCATCACGAAGTATGAAGTGCTTAGCCTCCGTACCTAAGTTACCCAAATACTTTCAACATGGAGTCAACCATTGAGATAGCCTAGGATGGATTAATCCTTGCACCTTGAGAGATAGTATCAAATGACATTTGACTAAGCTCATTCAACATGCATCTTTAAACTTTCGATTCTTTTTCGCGTCTTTCTTTTTCGGGAGAAAGTCGGTACCCTCCACAAAAATGACGAAATTTTTTTGTTTTTTTCATTTTCGAGTCGCACGATCACATTACAATGCACACACGAGTCATGTACAAATTGAGTCATGTCATGTCATATCACTTTGATTTGAGTCACACATGTCATTTCACTTTAAGTCGAGTCAACCTCGAGTCAGTCAATCACATCGAGTCAATTTTATACCTTGAGTTGTGTCAAGTAAACGAGTCAAGAAATGCTAAGCCTTAGGTCAACCCTAAGATAATTAAAAAGATTGGCAAAGTTCTATAGTCAAAATAAATATAGGTGCAGCAAAACAGGGAAGACCCTATCACAGTGTTCAGCGATAGAGTCAATTCTTGGCGCCAGAGATATTTCAGCAACGATAGAGCTCGAAACCTCTCAGAAAGGTGATTTCGACCTCATACAACAATTTTGGGTTCCTTGGTACGCCAGTTAGCCTCTCTAAGCAATTTGACATGATTTAGTAATCGACTTGATTACCTAAAGTGATAGACCTGATGAAAGATCGTCTCACTTAGCTTAAAGCGCCTAAGCATTTGCTCACTAACAAAAAGCATCGACATACTGGTTCATTCGCAAAAGGACACCGACGTACGGGTTCAAAGCAACGGAAGCGCCGACGTACAGGCATAGCGGAAGCAAAGTTCAGGCGAACTTTTAAGGATCGACAGATGGAGGTCTTCGGTAATTTCCTTTGGAAAATTATCGCATCAAATGAGGATGACTTCAAGTAAAGTTATTTTCGACGGCATTCGCTAAGATAGTGGAAGTTGTCACTAAAGATTTGAGAAGATAGCACGAGATGGGCTGTCTTCAACGACATTCGCTAAGATTGTGGAGGTTGTCACCCAAGATTTGAGAAGATAGCACGAGATGGGCGGTCTTCAACGGCGTTCACTAAGATTGTGGAGGTTTTCACCAAGATATGAGAAGAGCGGTTCATGATGAGGCGGTCTTCGATGACTTTTTCTATGATTGGAAAGGTTGTCACTATGACTCAAGAAAAGGCTCAAGATGTAGCAGCATTGATCGACGGGGTTCCCTAGATTGCGGAAGATCGTCAAAACAAACAGCAAGATGACGTTCCATAGATGGTGGGAAGTTGTCAAAAAGCAACTGAAGGTGATTTCAAGAGAAATAATCTTCGATAGTATTCCCTTGGACGTGGAATATTATCAATGCGGATGAGGATTGTTTCAAGAAAAATAATCTTCGATAGTATTCCCTTGGACGTGGAATATTATCAATACAGATGAGGATTTGTTTCAAGAGAAGCAATCTTCGATGATATTCCCTTGGATGTGGAATATTGTCAATGCGGAGGAGGATCGTTTCAGGCGAAGCAATCTTCTAATTTGGAAGCAGTTACGGGCATAGCGGTTTTCAAGCGGGATGGCATTCTCTAGCTTGTAGGAGGTCATCAAGACAATAGCAAAGCGGCAGCAAATCAGTTACTTTCAGAGGCGTGTGCTCAACGGTGCAAGATACGCGTTTCTTAACTCTCTTATCTGTTTATCTAACGATAGTTTTGCAGGTATCAGCATTACAAGAGTGGTTTAGGATTGCAGAACGTTCTAAATTGTTCTCCGTCCCTATCGATACTTTGACTTTTGTTTTCGAAACTCGCGTTTCTCCAAACTCAGTCAAAGTGGGGGCTTCTGTAGACACTCATTTGTGTCTCCCCGAAACCAAACCCAGTGATGAGTACCTTTCACGTCGAATCATAATCGAATGAAGTGAAAGTGTGGAAATTCTAGCGTTGCGGAAAGTTTTAATTTCTTTTCTTTTCTTTCTGTTTTTGAAAACTTATTTTAAGAAAAAAGCCAATCCAATTTGTTTGGTCCATAATATGGGTCCAATAGTAGTGTAGTTGGATGAGGCTTGCAAAGACCTTTCCAACGATATATTATAAGCCCGATTCCGATGAATATTGAGGAAGTTATGGCCAATTCACCAAACTGGGCCCGGTTTGAGCCTTATATGCGTCCCAATGATCTAGAGGAGGGCCTATTATTTATTATCATTCCTAAAGATATTAGGATTGATTATATTCTTTTAGAATACTCTAGAAGGTTCTTTTAAATCCGAATGGAGTTAGGATTGATAATTATGTTTTAAAGAGTTTGAAATTGAATAAAACTACTCCTTTTAAGAATCCTTGTTTTGTACAAAGTGGAATATATTCAGATTTTATTTTCGTGCCTCATAATATTTATCCAAATTTTATATGGTTGGATAGATCTTGAAATTATCTTTCCAATGATATATTATAATATTAAATCCGAGTCATAACGAAAAAGATATGAATGAGACATGAAACTTTATCCAAAACTGACACCCTTCCACTATTTTGGCCATATTTTTTTATCTAAAAAATATTTTAATCTGATTCTAATTAATTTGGAAAGTAGACTTTAAGATCTTTCCAACGACATATTATATGTCTTATTTGGACTTCCGGATCAAATACAAAATTCCGCATTCGCAAGATCTAGAAACACCTAGCTATATTCGAAGTTGTCTTTGCCCTGGACGTGAAAGGTTTTAATTTCCGAGGGTTTGGTCCAAAATCTCTATTTCAATTATTTAATTTAATTGTTGTTTATTATTTTCCTTGAAGTTACTAACGTGTGTATTTTGTTATTAGAAAGAGGTACGAAGCATCAAAGTAAGTACTTTAATGGTTTTTATTGATGTTATGATGTAGAAATCATGTTTATATTGTTATTATGATATTCCTAGTATCATGTCTAGGGTAACTTTAATATTAAATATGATTTTTATGATACTTCCTATGTTCTTCCTAATATTTATGATTGTTAGTATCATGTTAGGGTTAAAGATTTGATTTTTATTGCTTAGTGACATGCTATGGTTTGTTATTAATCTTGTTAGTATTATGCCTAGGATCTTGTTATGCTTTAACATGATTATGATTATTATTAATTATGATTGATATTATTATTATTCATGTTTATTCTAATGATTGATTATTTATTATGTTGCTTGCTTATTTATTGTTATTGCTTGATCACACCTTTTATGCATGTTTTAAAGGGAATTTGTACTTATAATCACGCTTAATAAGATACTTAATAATCTTGTTAGGGTGAATGTGATTATAATTCAAGTGATCGCCAATAATAGTTTATTTGTGCATTAAATTAAACCAACATAGATTAAACAGGTTTAGGGTTAAACCTAATGATTGCATGTTAGTTAGAAAGCGCACATGAATACGAGCAGAATAAAGTAGAGGCCTATTATTAGGACAGGTTCAATCTCTTTTAGGTTGGATTTGTACCTTCATCCTCGAACCCTTATTTGGTTCTAGACCTTATGGAGTTGACGATCTCTTGGATCGTTAAGGGGTGTAACCTTCATCCTATGAACGGTTTACAAGTTCCTAAAACTTGTTGGCGACTCTTTTGCTCTATCTTCTTCCCTTTTGGACGCCACCGTACTTTAGTGAATGATCACAGTGGGGTATTAACGTTTGAAATTATTCCCTACAGAGATGCTCAAACTTTCGTGAACATTTTAAATCAGGAACAATCAAAGGATCCAAACTTCTTTTTTAGAGTTAAGTTTGGCAAGGGTGGAAGAATTTCCAATATCTTTTGGAGAGATTCAATGATGCTAGAAGACTATAGGATATATGGAGATGTGCTTGTCTTTGATACAACATACAGAACCAACAGATATAATCTTATATGTGCTCCATTTGTTGGAATAAATAATCACTGGCATAATTGTATGTTTGCATGTGCTTTTATTAAGGATGAAAAAACAGATTCATTCGTTTTGCTACTAGAAACATTCTTAAAAGCTATGGAGAATAAAAAACCAACTTCAATATTCACTGATCAGGACCAAGCAATGGCAAATGCAATTGAGCAGGTAAAAGATTTATATTTACATTTTACAGATTTTAAATTCTGACAATAATGTTTTCCTTTTCCCATAAAGTTACCCTTTTAAATGCATAAAGTTACCCTTTTAACAGCATAAAGTGACCCTTTTAACAGCATAAAGTGACCCCTTTATTTTCAATGTAGGTGCTTCCTAATACAAGGCATAGACTTTGTATCTGGCATTTGAAACAAAATGCTATAACCAGATTTGGAGCTCTTAAAAAAGACAAAGAATTTAAGTATGCATTCAACCAGTGATTAAAGATGTGTGTGACAGAACAAGAATTTGAAGCAAAATGGCAAGCAATGATGCAGAAATATGAGTTGACAGCACACTCTTGGTACCAAAGAGTGTACGAGTTGAAAGAGAAATGGTGTCCTGCCCTTAGTAGAGATTTCTTTTCAGCAGGAATCTTATCGTCACAAAGGAGTGAAAGCACTAATCATGCAATAGGATTCAGAGCAAGTAAAGCAACTACCTTGAAAGAATTTTATACCATATTTAAGAAAACAATCAATCGTTGGAGAAGCACAGAGAAATATGATGAGTTTAACTGTAGCAAGTCAATAGAATTCACTTCATTTCAACTATCTGGAATGCTAAAACATGCTGCTCAGGTAAAAAGTTAACTGATAAGTACATCATTTACACATAAATTATACCAGTTTAAATGTAGCTAAACGATTTTGGTGAACAGGTTTTTACTTTGTCACTCTTTAGGGATTTTGAAGAGGAGTTTGGATATTCTATGGCAACAACTATTTAAATGATTGGAAGAAATGAAGACTGTCTACTCTATAAGGTAGCCCTGGAAGACAAGCCATGGTCTGCACATCAAGTAAACTATATACATGAGAGCCATAATTTATGGTGTACTTGCAAAAATTTTGAAGCATCTGGATGGTTATGTTATCATTGCATCATAATTCTACACTTGCATTCAGTAACAAGAATACTAGACAAGTATGTTTCAAAAAGATGGATTAAGTTTGCAAAAACAGAGACATGGGATAGGTTGAAGAATCAGGATCCTACACATCAATATACTCCATGGAGACAAACAATGATAAGGAAATACTATAATCTAATCTTAAAGAGTCAAGAAAATGAAGAAACAAAAGAATTTATGGAAGAAAGTTTCAGAAACAGTCTTAAAATGGTGGATGACTTACTTGCTAGTGCTGCCCAGAGAGAAAGTGCAGAAGCTGCTTCTAATGTTCCTGATGTGGTAGACAGCAATCACAGCAATGATGATGTTTCTTCGGCATCGAGCACAAGTGTACCAACAATACTTGATCCACAAAGGGCTGTAACAAAAGGTAGAAGCAAGAGAGCAAAAGGAGGTCTTGAAAAAAGCAAGAGAAAAAGAAAACCAGCACTACCACCTCCACATTTAGAATTTGGATCTAAAACACCTAATTTGAGACTCTTTTAGGAACTTTTTTAGATCATTTTTTAAAAAAAAATTAATGTAATTTGTATTCTAAAACTATATATTTTTTTTAACTATGTGACTAGTTTAATGAATATGTGATTGACACTATTATTAGCATATCTTTATTTAGTTAAACGTTTAAATTAAGAGTGACCTTTTTAACAAAAGAAATGAACCTTTTTTAAGCAAAAAGTAACCCTTTTAACAGAAAAAAGTGAACCTTTAATAATATTGAAAAAAGTGACCCTTTTCACATAATAAACCATTTACATAAAAGTAATTCTTTTCATGAATAAAAGTGAACCTTTTTCTAAATAAAAGTGACCCTTTTCATAGCTAGAATTACCCTTTCTAAAAATAAAGTCTACATTTTTCTTGTTTAAAAGTTACTCTTTCTATAAATAAAAGTTACCCTATTTCTGCATAAAAGTTACCCCATTAAAAACAGAAAAAAAAACCCCTGACCCTTTTAATTTACAGAAAAAAGTGACCCTTTTCACTTAATAAACCATTTACATAAAAGTGAACATTTTCATGAATAGAAGTGACCCTTTTTCTACATAAAAGTGACCCTTTTCATAGCTAAAGTTACCATTTCTAACAATAAAATCTACCTTTTTCTTGCTTAAAAGTTACCCTTTCTATAAATAAAAGTTACCCTTTTCTGCATAAAAGTTACCCCATAAAAAACGTAAAAATAAACCTTTTAATTACTTTATGTATTCACATACATCAGTATTCCAAAAACAACTAAAGACTTTAAACTAAGTTTAATTACATCATTAAACTTAATGTATGCACATATATTAAGTTTTTTCATTGTTAAAAAAAACCCCTGACCTAATCAGCTAACAACTATCAATTATTTCACTATTTAGAAGGAGTAAACATTTTTGCCTGCTTTTTTGCCCTTTTTCCTTTGGTCTTTTCCTCTTCTCCCTCTGCCTTTGCTTCTGCTTCTGCTGCCATTTTTCTTTCTTCTGTTTCTCTCTTCTTCTTTGCAGCAATTATAGCCTTTAATCTTTCTTCAATTCCATTGACATAAGTAGGATCTTTCTTTTTCTCATTGAACTTGTGTAATTCTGACAACACATCGTTCCTAAATTCATTCAAATCACACAGCACCAGTGTGGTACAGATCTTTCCTCGTTAAAATTTCCTTCCATTAATCTCAAAAAAGCAAAAAAAAAATATCTATATGTAATTAATAAAAGCATTAGAAAGGAAAAAACTACAAAAAGTATATAGATAATTAATGTTTTGAGCTCATTTAATTTGAACGATTCGCCAACAAAATGGAGCATGTGATACATGACAAAGACCCCACAGTCCAAATTGTACTTTCGACTTTTTCTTTTCTCCATTCCAACTCAACAACTTCAAAACCATAAGAAGGTAGCTGAGAACTCTTTGGATGATTTCTTTTGCCAAGAAAAGCACCCATTTGAACACACTGACATAAAATATAAAAGTTTAGAATACATTAAAATCAAAAAAGTTAAAATGGAAACAATGAATCAACAGTAACATAACAAAAAAACAAACACAAACATACCATCTTTGAACACAATTCTTTTGTATAAACAAGAGCAGAATCAGTCCAGATAATGTTGTCAAGATAATATACCAACTCTTTTGTATGATCAATAACATACAAAATGTAGTGATTCTCAATAAGAACTGGAAAATAGATCTGAAAGAGCAAAATTAAAAGAGATTTAACAGAGCATATCATAAAGAGAGCTCTTTAAAATTTATTACATTAAGTTTAGAATAAATATACCAGATCAGCATCCATTATATCACATTCTGGATTCTCATAGCTAACCCAACCTTCCCATAGGTCGTGCAAATCCTTAACAGCACTAGATATGTTACCTTTGCCAATATTGTACCAAACATGCAAGAATGCAAACTATTAAAGTATAAGATCTCAATAATATATATATATAAAGTAAATGTGTTAAGATATAAAAAAAAAAGAATGAAATAACTTACACTCTGCCAACACCGAAGAAGAATTTTCGAGGACCAGTAGCCTGAAAACATGCTTTCTCATTCAAATACAGACAGAAGCAATCAATAACGCACCATCGAATCTTGAGTGAAGCAACAAGGGACACCATGTCTTCTCTTGGAATAAAAAAGGACACTAAGCAATAATCGAGAATTTCCAAAAGTAACTGAGGCAAATTCTTGAAAATCTGAGCATTGCTCTTTACAAAAAGAGTTATAAAAGGCACCTGCACACCTACTGGTCCACAATCTAGAGAGCATAGAGATTTATTTGCTCTGAAGATACGTCGAGGAGGTTCATTTTGATCAATATGCCCGACAGGAATATTTTCAGTAGGACCATGAATGATAGCAGAAGGTCCAGAACCATTAAGGCCTTCATTAACTATTTTTCCATGACCATTGTCATCATCCTTAGGAATATTTTCATTGAAACCTTGTGCAGGTTCTTTTTCAGGAACAACATCTTTGTTACCTTCTGTAGGTTCATAAAAACCGCGAAATAAATCATGTACATACTTCATTTTATTACACTAATCAATTAAACCATCTAAATCTTCAGATAATGAGGATCAGAGAGTAGCAGTTCAGTTTGAGAAACTGAAACATAATTATCAGAAGATAATGAAACACTTCTGCGAGAAGTAATTAGATGATTCAAGGTTTGAAAACCAGTTGGCTGAACAAATAATAAAACATCCATATTTCTTTTAAACAAAAGAAACGTTTCATGAAAAACCTAAAAACATATGAACAAAGAAAAAAAATAAGTATTACAAATAAAAATAATAAAATAAGTAGGAAATCTAAATATATGCTAAAAGTGACCCTTTTAAATGTATAAAGTGACCCTTTTAAATAAAAAAAGTTACCCTTTTGTATGAATAAAGTAACCCTTTTAACTTAATATTTATGATAACTTTAATGCATATAAAGGGTAACTTTCGTGCAAATAAAGGGTAACTTTGGTACACAAAAAGGGTAACTTTGGTACACAAAAAGGGTAACTTTTGTACACAAAAGGGTAACTTTTATACACAAAAGGGTAACTTTTGTATACAAAAAGGGTAACTTTTGTACACAAAAAGTAATAATAACTAAACATATAACAAAACATAACACTTACATCAGTTGAAATTTTTTTAATTCCTTCATCAGTCACAATACCTTCTGGAAGCTCAAATGCAACAATGCGACCAGTGGTACAACTTGTAGAAGCACCCTTATCATAACCCAAAGTAGGAGCTGGCTTAAAAACAGTTTCCCTAAAATTAAGCTGTGACACAGGATATGTAAAAGTATCCAATGGTCCCTGCCCATAACCACCAGCTTTGATCACTAACTTAATCCGCTTCTTAATCTTTACATCCGTCCAATGTTGAATCAAAGGAAGAGTACTACTTTCCTTTTCACCTTGAAAATTTAGACGATGAAAATACATAATTTGCAAAGCCAGCAAACAACCACTAACATTTTGAGCATTTTCATCATCCTTATACTTCTGAACAACCTTCTTTAACTTTTTCAAAACATATGAACACCAATCGAAAGTTTTAACACTAGTAGAAAAATTCAAAAAGGTAACCCCCTTTTGGCACCGGTTCAAGCCAAACCGGTGCCAAAACTCGGCCCAAAAATGGGCGGGAGTAAAAAAGTTGGTAAAAGGCACCGGTTCAACTCAAACCGGTGCCAAAAAACTAAAAAGCACCGGTTTGAACCGGTGCCTTAGTGAACCGGTGGTTTTTTTTAAACAAAAAAAAACCGGCCCTTTATTTCATTCATTCCCTCCTTTCTTCCCCCTTCTTTCTTCCTCCTTTCCTTAACCATTCACCTGGCCTTCACTGTTTCATTCGAAAAACCCAAACCAGAAAATCACCACTGCTGCCTCCGTCCCCTCCTTTTCCCTCCACCACTGTTGCCACCTTGAACACCACCAGAAAACCCATAACCTAGTCTCCGTCCCCTCCTTTTCCCTCCATCTCAGCTGTTCGAATTGAAGAAGCTGCGCCGCAGCCCTGCTGTTCGAATTGAAGAAGCCTCGGTCTGCCGCCGCGCCGCAGCGCTGTTCTCCTCTTCTCTTCTCCTCTTCTCTGCCGGCGCGCCACCTTCGACCCTTCTTTTGCTGCACCACCTTCAACCGACGCGCTGCAGCCCTGCTCTTCTTTTCCTGCGTACAACACCACCTTCTTTTGCTGCACCGCCTCCATCTCCGCGTACAGCAGCACGCCTCCACCTCCATCAACGCGTACAGCAGCACGCCTCCACCTCCACCAGCGCGCACAGTATTCCAACTAATTTAGGGTAATTTTTTTTTTTTTGTTAAAAATTGAACAATTATTTTGAAATATGTAATTCTATTATTTTCAATAGCATTTTGAACAATTATTGTTAAGAAAATTAAACTCAAGGAATGTATATAATTTTACCTAATTTTTTTAATTTTTGCATTGGTTGTTTATTTAGAAATTTTGAATACAAATTATACATTAGAGTAATTTTGTATGTTTAGAGTAATTTTGAATACATATTATAGATTAGAGTAATTTTTCATTACCTTGTACCTTAGTTGAAAAATTTGTATGTTTTAATGGGTTATTTTGAGGTTGATTTAATGATTAATTATGAATATAATAGAGATTAGTAAAAATGTTACTTAATTAGTTGAGTTTTTGTATGTTTTAATGTGTAATTTTAGGTTGTTTTAATGGGTAATTGTGAATATATTAGAGAATTAGTGACCTTGCTTCTAATTAGTTGTGAATAAATTAGAAAATTGTGAATAAATTAGAGAATTGTGATTACATTATAGATTTGTGAATAATTTAGAGAATTGTGATTAAATTAGAGAATTGTGCATAAATTAGAGAAATAGTGATATTGCCACTTAATTAATTGTGAATAAATTAGACTGTTATGAATACATTAGAGAATTGTGAATAAATTACAGAATTGTGAATACATTAGAGATTTGTGAATATATTAGA